TGTGTGTGTGTGTGTGTGTGTGTGTGTGTGTGTGTGTGTGTGTGTGTATTAAATTAAATTTTTTTTCAAAATTGAAGCAACTGACACATATTAATAGACGAACCACATCACCAAAAAACTACACAGCACACAACACACCACCGCACCATAATAACACGGCACACACCACCACACCACCACACCACACTATCATGCAACATCACACACACAGCCACACCCCCACACACACCACCAAATTGATATTCATTGATTACACATTAGTCGAAACATACCTATTCACAAATCCAATCTCATTTTTTATGCATTTCTCAGATTCCCACTCATATATTAAAACCGAAAAAATAACAACAAAAATTCTTGAATTCCCAAGTTTACAAAAAAATTAAAGATTTTGATAGCTAAATTCTAAAATTCTCATAAGAAATCAACAAACAAGCAACATTCACGCAGTTATGCATAGTTGCCGAAAGAAAATCATTTACAGTTGCATAAAACCAAAACAGCAGCTGAAACCACAATCTATCTTTAGGCTCCTATACAACCATGTTGTGTAACATAAGTCCTAACTCGCTTTAGGCTCTGAGGTTGTTATTTGGTACGCATAAACCCTCATATCTTCCTAGACCATTTGCATGTCAATATCATCTAAATGTAAACCCTAAATAATAAAATCAATATGATGAAACATCAGATAACATCATTTAGAAATTGAAGCTAAACAGTAGGGTTGTTTGGGAAATTACCGAGGTTCTCCTCAAAAGCCATGACATCCCCTACTCTTTATCCCTGTGGATTACTAAAATAACTATTTTTATTTGGTCATTTCCCACTTGACTTTCTATTTCCGACCTTGAAACCCTAAACGTTGAATTCATGAAGACAAGTACCTTCGATCATCATCGAGATTTTTCTGAAGTGACTTCAATCATTTAAGATGTAATTAACTATAGGGGTTTGCCCTTATAGGGAACTTGAAACCCGAAAAAATAAAGCCTACTTAATCTGTTAAATTAGATAGGGGAACTTATCGGTCCATATAAAAGGTTTGCAGACCAAACATATGTCATAAATTCTTTAATTTATTTAAGTAAACATCATTATTAATTAATGTGGCTATTTCTTGAGGTTGCTACACTGCTTGTGGTATTGAACTTGATTATTAAATCATTAAATATGTGAGATCTTTTTGGTCTTATTTTTCAAAATTAAAAATGTTGTTTTCAAAAAATAAAATTATATATATATATATATATAAAGCGACCGACACATATTAATAGCAGAACCATAACACCAAAACACTACAACACACACAACACACTACCACACCACCATGCAACATCACACACCACCACACCACACTACCATGCAACATCACACACACCACCACACCACCACATACACCATCAAATTGGTAATCATTGAATACACATCAGTCGAAACATAGCTATTCACAAATCCAATCTCATTTTGTATGCATTTCTCAGATTCCCCCTCATATATCAAATCTGAAAAAATAACAACAAAAATTCTTGAATCCCCGAATTCACACAAAGTCAAAGATTCTCATAGCCAAATTCTGAAATTCTCATAACGAATCACCAAACAAGCAACATTCACGCTGCTATTCACAGTTGCAGGAAAAAAAACCATTTACAGTTACAGAAAACCAAAACAACAATTGAAACCGCTACCCCCCTCTCTCCCAACCCCTTAGGCCTCCTCTTGTTCTCAAATTCTCACTCAAATCCAACACTAAATTCCAACTCAAACATCAAAACTAAAGTATCAACAGTCGCCACCAACCTAATTCTAAATGTAAAAACCTAAAAAAAATAGAAAATCTCAAAAAAATCGGTGCTACGCAGAAAACAAAAGAAACCCTTTAAGCAAATCCACCAAGAAACTTTGGACAAATCAATATGGCTAATAGAGCAAATCTACTAAGGAAAGATAAGCGATAGAGGATACAAGAAGAAGAAGCAAACGTGGGAAAGCCAAGTCACAGTTGTTGGGGAACAAAGAGAAAAAAGACGAGAAGAAATCATAATAAGTTGAGCAAATGCGTGGCGAGAACGAGCAGAAAGAGCAAGGCACACGAGAAAACATGAGAGCACTAGAGCGGGTTAGGGCAGAAGATGTGAAGCTGAAGTACAAGAATATAGCGAAGCCACGGGGTAGCTAAGTAATAATATCGTGAAGAAATGCGGGCCGCAGGATCAACCTATAGCCAGCATTTTCATTAAAATGCCAAAAAAAGCCAACTCACCGTCACCCCTTGAAACAACCAAAAATGCATTTTATTTATTTATTTATTATTATTATTATTATTATTATTATTATTATTGTTGTTGTTGTTGTTGTTTCAATAGAACATTGGGGCAAAATTATGTTATGCATAAATATCCTTAAATTCAGATTTGACCTACTTTATAGACATCGAAAGGATTTCATTGTCCTTCACGGAAGTAGGTTACAGGGAGGGTATTTGGGGGTTATATCCGCGTTATACCTCAAGTAACCTCCTTGTAACCTACAAATATATGAAAACAGAAGTGTGAAACTTACTAGAAGGTACATGTAAGTTACAAGGAAGTTACATGGGGTATAACATGATTATAATTTCCAATACCCTCCCCGTAACCTACTGACGCATGCAGCACTGTGTACGTCTTACGTACACAAATTTTTTCCCACCCCTCACACCCTTCGGAATAAGAAAAAAATATTAGGTCAGGGCTCAAGTCCAACAGTGGGACGCCACATGTCCAGTGAGCCTCATAAATTTTAACACTATATAATGTGCCCGCTTTACATTAGACTCTTGGAGGCAAGTTTTGCTCGCCGAACGAGAAGAAAATATTGCAACAGGACTCTGCATGTAGAGTTATATGAGGAGTCCAATGAAATCACGCCAGGTGGCGGTGACAGAAAAAAAAAAAAATTTGTCCGATAACGTAAGGGAATATTCCTCTCGTGTTATTCATGTATTATTATATGTTATTCAGATGCTATTGTGTGTTATTCAAGTGTTAATGATGTGTTATTATGTTCTCGTAATACCAGAAATATTTTTAGAATATAATAACACTTGAATAATATATAATAATAACTGAATAATACATAATAATATTCTCTTATATTATGTTATTAGGCGGATTCACTGTGCTTACTAAGTTAACTCAATATTTTTTCCGAAAGGAGGGGGATTAATTTATTAGTTGCTGATAGTTCGATTTATCTCTGCCGTGGGGGAGCGGAAGATGGAGAAACGAAGGCTGCTTTTCGCTGAAATTTGCGGTCTTCTCTTT